TTTATTTATCCTTTGAATACATATAAGATGATTTTTTTTAATAATTCCCACTTAAGGAAGAGAATAGAAACTTTGCTACTAATAGGTATTGAACACACGACTTAAAAAATATAAGACATATCAACTAAAAAGTTTAATCACATGCTCTGAACTCTAAATACTATTTACATAAATATAAGATAAATTAAATAAAGATTCAATCAAGAGAATAAAATAATTTTACATGGAAAACTCAAATTATCTTAGGTAACAGGCAACAATGATAATGTAAAAAAAAAAACTTTTTTTTATATAAAATAATGAAATCTTAAACATATTAATCACGTAATTTTATCTTATACCTTGATGGATGATCGGATCTTTTTAATTTGAATAATCATTTTAAGAATTATTAATATACGTTTGTCGAAAACGGAATGCGTAAAATTAAATATATAGACTATTAAGTTAAACATGACAATTCCTATATTTATGTTTCTTTTCAAAATTGTTATATATTTGTATAAGTTTCAAGAATTCAAGTTGATTTTTTTTTAAAATAATGGTTATTTTTAAGTTGTTAATAATTTAATTTAAGTAAATTTACACATTAATTTATTTATATTTTTTACGTATCACATTTTATTTTTTAATCTATAATCATATTGTGTATGATATTGTCATATGTTAAAATAAAGACGGCGAAAATATGATATGGTTATTAAAAGTCAATGGTCATAAAGGGATTGTCTCATGAAAGACGGATTAATATACGGTATTATTAGATACATTAAAAGATATTTGATAAATTCGGTTTAGCGCTACTGGAAATATCGAGTAATAATAATGTAATAGGTGGAAATCATGAAGAAATATTAAAAAATTTGGCAACCGGCAAACTTAGCTTGTCGGTTTGTGTCGATACTTTATAAAAATATATTGATCCATAACAATATAACATGTAAAAAAATGACAAAACCGGTCTATAAATGACAAATCAGATAAAGCGCTACAGAATATATTGAAAGTGTCGATACTTTATAAAAATATATTAATCCATAACAATATAACATGTAAAAAATGACAAAATCGGTCTATAAATGACAAAACAGGTAAAGCGCTACCAGATATATTGAAAGTGTCGGTACTTTATAAAAATGTGTCGATCCATAATAATATAACAGGTAAAAAAATGACAAAACCGGTCTATAAATGACAAAACAGGTAAAGCGCTACCAGATATATTGAAAGTGTCGATACTTTATAAAAATGTATCGATCCATAACAATATAACATGTAAAAAAATGACAAAACCGGTCTATAAATGACAAAACAGGTAAAACGCTACCGGATATGTTGATAGTGTCGATACTTTATAAAAATGTATCGATCCATAATAATATAACAAGTAAAAAAATGACAAAACCGGTCTATAAATGACAAAACAGGTAAAGCGCTACCGGATATATTGAAAGTGTCGATACTTTATAAAAATGTATCGATTCATAACAATATAACAGGTAAAAAAAATGACAAAATCGTTCTATAAATGACAAAACAGGTAAAGCGCTACCGAATATGTTGATAGTGTCGATACTTTATTATAAGTATCGACACTTTTGGAATTTAAAAGAGAAGAAGTTATAGCACTAATAAAGTGTCGATACTTTATAAAAATGTATCGATCCATAATAATATAACAGGTAAAAATATGACAAAACTGGTCTCCAAATGACAAAACCGGTAAAGAGCTACCGATATGTTGAAAGTGTCGATACTTTATTATAAATATCGATACTTTTGGAATTTAAAAGAAAAGACGTTATAGCGCTAATAAAATGTCGATACTTTATAAAAATGTATAGATCCATAACAATATAATATGTAAAAATATGACAAAATCGGTCTCTAAATGACAAAATCGATAGTAAAAAAGTGTGCTTGTGTGGTTATTTTTATTTCAGAATTTTCATTTTTTAATACAAAAAGTTGGATATTTTAAGCAAAACACAGTAAGAAAAGAACAAAAACTTTGCAGTAACAAAAGAATAACATTGGGAAACACACCATGTTATCAGTTTCTCAAAGAACAAAAACTCAGAAACAGGTAAATTTATAATGTAATCGGTAAAAATATATTGGTTAATTAGCAAATAGGTTTACATTATGTATCGACACTCTTTAAATATGTGTCGATACTTTTTTCCCAAAATGAAAGCACAACGAGGTGCACGCATAAAGTGTCGATACATTTAAAATTGTATCAATCCCAAAAACATAAAAACCGATAATTATAATGTAATAGGTAAATTTGCAATGTTACTGGTTTAAATATACATGTTTAGTTATAAAATAAGTCAATATAAACACCACTTATTACATTATATAAGCGTTACCTAATATATTATTGTACTTGATAATATTTTCGGATAAATGATATAACATAACCGGTCTAAATTTTAACATGTCATTTATTTAACAGATCACGCCATTTTTTAACCGTTTTTTAGACGCCGCACAACAGGAGTTTCTGGTCACAAAACTTTGACGACAGACTTTACTCAAGCTTTCTTTTTCGGTTTAAATAAGTTCGAAATTTTATATTATTTTAAAATTTAAAATTTAATTTTAAAATTTTATATATTTATAACATTAAATTTTCGTTAAAAAGTTGTTTTATTTTTATATATTATTATATCGATAAATAATGATAAAATTAAATAAAAAATAATTCTTAAATAATATTAATATATATTTTAAATTTGTAATTTTTTATATAAGTTATGAGCTTATTTTGATATAAGATAATTTATATTAAACCCATTGAATGATTTCAATCGTATAGTGGGTGTTATTTTCCTTAGAAGTTTCGAGTTTAAACAACTACGAAATTTGTGTGCATTGCTAATAACTAAAAAAAATCATGAACCTATATTACATTGTAATTATCCAAACAAGTAAAAAATATTATATTCAAAATCTAAGCAAATATATATATATATATATATTTATTTATATTTAATAAACTATTAGTAAATCATCAAGTTACATCATTAATGAAAGGGTAAACTATAAGTTTAGTACCACTATTATTACTTTTGTTCTGTTTTGGTACCTAAATTTTAATTTTTTTCAAAGTCGTACCTAATGTCTAGTACTTTATGCTTCAATTTGATATCCCGCCGTTAATAAATTAATAAAACTATTGACATGATATTTTTTTTTTCAATGATAATGTGATATTATTTATGGCAACACGTTAATATATTCGTTAAGTTTTAACGACGAGATACCAAAAAGAAACATAAACCAAACGTTAGGTATAGTTTTGAACAAAAATAAAGTTTGACTACTAAAACGGAACAAAAATAATTATTTAGGTACTAAACTTATAATTTACCCTTGATAAACAGTAAATAGTAAATATTTATTAAGGGTAAATTATAATTATTTAATAAATAGTAAAAAATTGACCAAAACCCAATTCAAGAAAAAATATATGAGGTATCTGAGCTTGAAGGAATTAATCCAATTCTTCCCTCTGGCGTTTGATTTGGATACCCAAATCATCAGATATTATAGACTAAAAAATAGGTGAGTTTGGAACAAGATTTTGATGTTGGTATTCATAACTTTGATTTGATTTTGCTGTAAATGTTGTTGATTGCCAAAAGATAAGCGGAGTCTCTATTGGGTCTTTGAAGTTGAAAATGTCTATCAATTGAGGCAATTGCTTGTGCAAAGAAAATGAATTGGTCATTGCCGTTGTTGTCCGCTTTGACTTCTTTTCCTCTTTCCTTGGATTGTTATTGCTTCCATTGTTGAAGAACACATGAGATTGATCAATACAAACCCCTCCTTGTTGTTGTAATGAAAGTTGAAAACTTATGTTGCCCACTTCTGAAAAATTCATGCCGGCAAGAATAATACATAAATAGATGAAAATCAAGTTGCAGGCACGCGTGGCGCAACTTAACATCGGCTTTGTTACAAGCATCGGTAGTTGAGAAATATTAGTGACCTTTTATGTAATTTACTTTTTTTAATTTTAAATATTTATTGTGTCATGTCAACGATTTGTTAAAAGTCCATAATATTTAATCATCAATGATCACATCTTAACTAAATAAAAACTAAAATATATGAATTCTATATTTTTTTAATTCAATGAAAAAAATTATACAAAACTTAAACGAAAGTTATCAATTTTATAGTTTACCGTAATAAAAACAATAATATGGGAAAGTACATGATGGAATGAACAATGTGAAAGTCAGCTGGCCATTAGCCAATGTTTCCTCTATATTAGGATTGTAAATGAGATTAGACAGATCGCGAACTATTTAAGATCGACTCGGTCAAGGTTTGATAAATACTCGGATTGAATGGACTCGACTCGAACTTGAGCTCGACTTGAATTCTTAACGAGCCAAAACGAGCTACTTGATACTCGACTTGAAAAGCTTGTGAGTAGCTCGAAAATATAATATATTAAAATTTTATTTTTTAAAAAAAAATTATTAATAATATTAACATTTATGTGTTGATTTTTTTTTTAAAAATACAATAAGACTTTTATGTATTTAAAGTTCAGGTTCGAGTTTGAGTGTGAGGATTTAATTTTGTTAAGTTTAAGATTTTTTTCTTCATTTCGAGCCTTTTCGAGTTGCTCACGAGCTTCAATTCAGGATTTCGAGTTCTAGTTGAGCTTAAAAATTTTAAACTTGCGAGTTTTCGAGTCGAGTCGAACTCGATTTCATAATTTTCGAGTATAATCGAACTCAACTCGGCTCGTTTACACTCCTACTCCATATCTAATGGTAATATCGTTCTTTTATTTCATTCTCTTTTTAAATTAAAAAATCCAGCAATATTGTTTGACTTGACTGACACCATAAACAAACGTGATAGTATATTAGTATATATATTTCCACCGTTTTGGGATCTTCAACTCCAAAGTAGGCTTTGGAAGGATAAAAACAAACATTTTTGCTTAGCTAAATCTGAGAGAAAGAGATATGGGTACTTTGGGTTCATCTCCAAACTCCAGAGTCGTGCATGAAGGTGGAGAAAATGATAATCTTCCCCACAAGCACCTTTCTCACACGGATCAAGATCTTGATGCTGGTGCTCGTTTTGTTCTTAAATCCAAAGGTATATTCACTTCACTTTGCTTCTTCCCATGATAGTCCAAATGACACCGATTAAAAATAATCGTCTTCTTAAATATTTTAAATTATCATGTATTTTTAAATTATTTATTGATATATATTTGTAAATTCGCTTTTTTTCCCCTAAGCATAAAATTTTATCTCCCCCGCTCTTCTTCTTTTGTTCTCCTGGATTCATCATGTATGATCTCAAACTTTATTTTTTCTGCTGGCTGCCCCTTTCATTTCCCGCCTACCGTTTCATGTCCTCTTCCCTTACCTTAATATCTCATCACAAACTCCAACACGATTACTATATTTTGTCAAAATTAGAAGAAAAACGATCTTAAGCTTACGTATCTATGATAGCCATGGAAGCCGCCAACCTGACAAGCCTTGCGTACCAGAAATCTATATTTCTAATTTGAAGTCTTCAGATAGAAACGGAACTACTTTACAAAAAGGCAAGTTTATATATGGGCTAAAAATGAAATCATTTTAAAAAGTATTAAAAGATCTAGATGTTAAGTAATTAATACGAGTTTAATTAAATTACATAGATGTTTTAAAGAAATCAGAATTGGGCAGGGTCATGGATGCACTGTGGTTACCACTTGACAACATCAATTGTAGCGCCGCCGCTTCTGAGTCTTCCGTTTGCTTTCACCTTCCTCGGATGGGCTGCCGGAATTATGTGTTTGGTGGTCGGTGCATTGGTCACTTTCTATTCTTACAATTTGCTATCTCTTGTCATTGAGCACCATGCTCAATTGGGTCGTCGACATCTTCGTTTCAGAGACATGGCCAACGACATCTTAGGTAAGAAGCATACTTCAAATTGCAAATATAATAATAATAATGGTAAACTATCTATTTGATCACCCATCTATTACTTAATTTTTGTTTTAGTCACCCAATTATTGTTTTTGTTCAAAATCACCAACGTTATGTTTTGGTTTTGGGTTAGTCACTCATCGTTAAACAATTAATAATAATGTTGATATGTCATCATAAAATAATGTTATATCAAACTTACAGTTAATTTTTTAACAATTTATTAATACATCATAAAATGGGTGATGGTTTGATGAATGATTAGAAATTGAGAGGCTTCTTTCTTTTGCATTATTGATTGACAAAAATGCGTCCTTGTACATATTAAATGAACAAACTTAAATGCATATGACCAAGCCATACGCGGTCCATTATATACCTTACATTTGTGAATTACTGTATGGTTCCAAATTCTTTTTTAAATCAGCAATTAATTACACAAATATATTAAAGAAAACATTTAATTTATTGACTCCATTATTAAAATATTTTGTTATTTTTTTGGCTAATCTGTTACAATGTTTAGTTTTAATAATGAAAACTGTTAATAACACATAGAGTAAGGTTTTAGCGTGTAAAACTGACCAAAATGATGGAAGTACTGGACACTAGGACTCCATCAAGTCCAATGGTTTGCACCTAAATCGAGACTTTAATGCCAATTTGATGGGGTTGTGGGGTAGAATGAGTTTTCATTTGGTTGGTGAGCAAGGTTACTCACATTAAATGAAGATATATTATATAAAAAAAATCTTTTTTACAAGCAGTCTTAATCCACAACAATATTTTTATTTAAAAAATATTAAAAAAATATATATAAAAATAGATTAAAATTGTTATTTATTAACGTTAGAATATTTTTCTTTAGAAATAATCTTAATATATATTTTTACTATTAAAAGATATTAGTCAATGACATATGCCAGTGGATTAAAGCTATCTGTAGCGAAAAATACAATGTCACCAGTATATAAAAAAATAACCCATTCATTTTTATATAACATATTACTTTATATGTATAAAGTCATAAATAACCCATAATATTTATATAACATATCTGATGAATCTTTTGAAATTTTCAGGTGGATCTTCCTAATTCGACAGCATCCTTTTTTTTAACCTTTATTGATTAATTTCAAGAAAATTAAAATATTAATTTATTTTTTTATAAATTAAGATTTGTTTATGTTAGATTGGGTTTTTTTAGTCATTGAACGATTTTGTGATCTTGATTTTGTATAAAATGTTAAGCTTTATTTCAGCAGTTTTAACACAATATTGGGACTGGCAGGGCCAAGATGGGGTCGTTATTTTGTTGGGCCAATTCAATTCATGGTGTGCTATGGTGCTGTAATAGCATGCACTCTTCTTGGAGGACAATGTATGAAGGTAAGCTCCTAATTAACCCCACCTCCCTTTTTATAGTTTAAATATTAAAAGCAACCTGCACAAACCAAGCGAACTCAATGGTTATAATGTTTACAGGGGCGTTTGAGAGTTCATTGTCAAATGATTAAAAATCTTTTGTAATTATCTTAGATTATTGAAAACAAAAAACTAAAAGCAACCATTCATCAATTATAGTCCTTAATTTTTTCAATTCTTGCAGGCAATTTATTTGCTATCAGAACCAAATGGGAGCATGAAGCTTTACGAATTCGTGATTATATTTGGATTGTTGATGCTGATTTTAGCTCAAATCCCATCTTTTCACTCACTAAGGCACATTAATTTGATATCTTTGTTTCTATGCCTTGCCTATAGCGCCTGTGCCGCTGCTGGCTCCATATATATCGGTAATTCTGCATGTTGAAAACTTTGTTTCAATCATCTGTTTGTTAAACTGATTCTGGATAATTTTGTGTTAATGTTTCCAGGAAATTCTTCGAAGGGACCGAAGAAAGATTATAGCCTGGAAGGTGATACCGAAAGTCAAATTTTTGGAATCTTCAACGCTATTGCCATTATCGCCACAACTTATGGCAATGGTATCATTCCGGAGATTCAGGCAACTATTGCACCGCCAGTGAAGGGGAAGATGTTCAAGGGGTTATGCGTTTGTTACACAGTACTTACAGTGACTTTCTTCACTGTTGCCATCTCTGGTTACTGGGCATTTGGCAACGAATCTGAAGGCCTTTTACTTAGTAATTTCTTGGATGATGGGAAACCTCTGGTGCCAAAATGGTTCATCTTGATGACAAACCTCTTCACCATTCTCCAACTATCAGCAGTTGGTGTGGTAATTACATACCTTCCCTCCCTTTTTCCGAGCATCATATCTTCATTGTTCAGACTCTTCATTTTTCTTAAAATAATCATATCAAACACTTTCTTCCAAATTTGAGCAACATACGTTCATGTATTTGGTACATATCTTCAATAAAACAAGGTCTTTTGTCACAGGTCTACTTGCAGCCTACAAATGAAGTGCTGGAAGGCACATTTGCAGATCCAAATAGCAAAGAGTTCTCTATCCGTAATGTTATCCCAAGGTTGGTTTCGAGATCACTGTCTGTTGTTATTTCCACAACAATTGCAGCAATGCTTCCATTTTTTGGAGACATCAATGCAGTCATTGGAGCTTTTGGTTTCATGCCCCTCGACTTCATTTTACCTGTTGTTTTCTTCAACTTGACGTTTAAGCCATCGAAGCGAAGTCTTGTTTTTTGGTTGAATGTTACCATTGCAGTGGTTTTCTCTGCACTTGGAGTTATAGCAGCCGTTGCAGCAGTAAGACAAATAGCTCTTGATGCCAAAAATTATAGATTATTTGCTAATGTATGATGTAATCCAGCCCCAAGTCTATCAACGCATGGCCTTGTATCTAGTAGATCCTTCATTAAAATGGGAGGGAGAAACTGTTGAACGAATTCAATGATATTGCAGAATGAATCAAATCTTTGATTAAAATTTATGTATTGCAATTGCTGAAAGGTAGCAACAGAAGCTCAAGGGGGAGGGGTAAACAAGAAACATCAGATGCAAATCTGCAACATACAGCTCAATGACAATTTATTTCTACCTGTCATACAAAAACCTAAGATGGAGCAATGAAGATGTAATGCTGCTAAATATCATATGCGCAATAAAGCTCTAATACTTTTCAAATTTATGAATCCGTATCTTCTAAATGTCCGAATTCCTTCATCCAAAAAGATTTTGCTTCTTCAGGCGTCCGAAATGTCCAAATATGGGACTCGGCTTTCTCGCGAGCTACCAGAATTTCCTGTTTTCAGCAGGAGTAGTTCATTATTCAGGAAAAAAACAGCACAGGTAAAATGCAACTGCAATTTGAAGTTTTTTCTAGGAAGAAAAACCAAATAGTTGGGCAGACAATAAGCCTACCTACAGTTCCTGGTCATCATTCCCTTACATGAATGTTAGTGTCATTGGCATTCATAAAAATGAAATACTGTGGCGGATTTACAATTTACAAGAATATGGCGGATTTAGGATACTAAGAAAGACCCAGTTTAAGAATTGAAATTGAGAACAAGTTCATAGACTCTTAGTAAGGGATTTTTCAATTGAAATTTATATCTTACAGTGATTAATGACCAAAACCGACTCATTTGGAAATATATTGTACACGTACAGTTGTCAAGTGTTGTCTTCAATCGTTCCTCTAATCAGATTTTAGCTTATGAACCACTATTTAAGCATAAAGAAACTACTAACTAGTTTACAAAACAAATTTCACAAATAAAAATTAAATCTAAGTTTAACTAATATTTAACTTAAAAAATAAATAAATAAAGAGAGGGGGAAAGAACCTCGAGTTGAGAAGAGGGTTTGGTTTTCAAATACAAACAATCCCAAAGAGCACTCCACTTCCCATAGCAATTATCAAGAACTCCTACTCTATAATATTGTTGCAATTGATGAACCGGGGCTGCCAAATAAATCACCAAAACCATTCATTAGCTAAAATGGGTAAACTAAAATTCTTAAGAAAAAAGAAGAAGGGGAAATATAGAGGGGTGTTTACAATAGCAAAACCAGAGAGCATCGAAGCATTTGGTGCAGGATACGCGACGCTGAGTAGCATAGGATTCTTTTTCGGCACTCATTTTTCTTCTCCGCCAAACTTGCACGCCGATCTGGTCTGCCTCTGAATTCGATTCTTTGTTGTTTTTATGTTCCGGATTTGCCGTGAAATCGAATAGAGGAATAAAACGACGGCGTTGAAGATATTTTGGGTTAGAGTTGGGCTTGGGGTATCAACCCTGAGCTGAAAATATAGTTGAATTACTGGGCCCAAAGTTCATTACCACTTTGGTAAAAAAATTATTGGTCTAATTATTATTTAGTCCCTGTACTATGTTGAAATCAGGATTTAAAGCGTTTATTTTCCTTTTGGAATATTTGGTCTTTCTATTTCCATAATTAGCGTGTTTATAGGCAATATTGTGGGAATAATATTTATTTATTTATTTATTTAAAAGGTTTCCAGACGACTTTATTTAGAAAAGTATCATCCTTTTGATAAATGTGTATCATGTTGACAATATTTTTTAAAATAGTGTAGGACATGTTTTTACTGACGTGATAATTTTTATGGGCATAGTCTTTAATATTAATGTCATCCAAGATTAAAATAAAATAAATTATAATTATGAGTCAAAAACTAAAAAAATATGAATTTTATTCAAAAGTAAATGATACATACTATATGGATAAAAAACATGTATTTATACGAGCACAGGCCATCAGAAGATAGCAACAACATATGTATATATGTTTTGTCTTTAATCATTCACTTAGCCAATGTTTAAAAGGTTATATTCAAACAATTGCAAAAATCATATATAAACAATATGACATTTGAGAATTTAATGACCATAACTTATTGATTTTAAGTTGTTAAAGACAATTATTGAATTTCATCATACTCATATCGAATACGATAATCAAAGACAATTGTTATCTTTTTGATATACTCAAGTTCCCAATATCTAATTGGCTTTGAATATTATACATCTACGAATTTGATTAAATTTAAGAGTTATTTTTAACGAATTAAATTCAATAAATTTTGACCATGAGATTTTAAAATTACAGTAATATTTATATATATGTGAGTTTTTAAACCCATATATTTTTGCCTGAGATGACGATAGATTATCTAAATAGTACTCACTACAACATCAAGAGCCACAGCAACAATAAGTATCGTCTGAGTTATCAAACAACTGCTCGCCTACTGTTTGTCCTTGTAAATATATTCAAAATTTTATATTATTAAATATTATTTTATCAAAAGTTATATATTATTAAAAAGAACATAAACATAATAGCATTATGTACTTTTAAAAAAACAAAATAAATACAATTTTACATTGAGACATTTCCTTCTTACGTAGGGATGAAAATCAAAATACATTAAGACACTTCCTTCGTGAATTAACATAATAATAATACAATTCGGAAGATTTTTAAAAGTAGAACAAAAAACATTTGGCCGGTAATACCGAAAAAATCAAAAAAAATGGGGAATTTTTTTCCCGCCACTATAATAGTTTTGTTTATGCTGTACGTGTCCCCAGTAAGTAATAATCGATTTCCCCCTGTACCCGACCCGCTACGAAGGAGCAAAAGCGTGGGCAGCTTTGACTCACTAAGAACATGCATGAATCGGACCAACTCCGAGTTGGTTCGTTTACACGCCGAGTCAATTTGATTATTTATTATCGGTTTTTTTTTTCGTGCCGAATCGTATAAGGTCAAGACTAGTTGCCTTTTCGTAAATTTGGTTTTTGTTGGTGTACATCACATTAGCATGTTTTTTCGCCTACTTTTAAAATACAATTTGTTCGTAGAATGCGTATTTTTACTAACTATATTTAGTTGTTTAATATACAAACTAAATGTATTTTTTATTGAATAAGATCTATTGATTACTTATTATGTTGATTTATTTATTAATTCTAGATGGAGTTTATGAGATTAAATTCTAGGATAAAATTAAATACATCAAATAATTTCAGTGATAAAAGAGAAAATTATTCTCTTTAAAGATTATGAGTTTGAGCAACATTGTCTGAATGGTGTGTGTATTGTTAATAGATTAAGAAAATTCTGAATAAATGTTTTATTGTAATCACCCTAGATTATTAAAAAAATTATTTGGGAAACTCAAAGATTCTTGTTATCTATTAAAATCTCAGGTTTAAGCACAATGTTTATAGGGTTGTATGATAATATTAACATTCATTATCAAATAGTTAATTATAATTTGAATAAATATCATATTGTATTTACCTTAAATTAATGAAAAATAATAAACATGCGACATTGTTAAAAGATCATAAATTAAAATAAATTTAAATGACTAGAGTTTTAAAAATAAATGATAGATTATAAAATAAGTTTTCTTATATATTTTTTCAATATTTGCATACAAGTATATAATAGAAATTGTATAACATTTATTTTAAGTTAAAATAATAAATTTTTTAAATAAATAAAAACATTATTTTTTAATTTTTAGAAAAACATGGAACTTTTATACATGTTCCATCACAACCCTCCTTTTAAATCGTATCGTGAGGAGGATGTCATAGTATATCACCCCATCTAAAACCGGGTACGAAAAATCATTTACTTTTTTCACGGTCCAACTCGGACGAGTTGTTCAAATCGTCAACTCAAATAACCGAGTCCGCCACTCTCACTTTCTCACGCGCGATAAAAGAGGCCGTTGTTCACTCCTATTGGGATACACCGGCTGCCTATCGCTCTCTATAATCTCTAAAATCTCAGAAGACGATATCAATGGCGGTTAGCAAACCCTAACCAGGTATTGCTGCATAATTCTTCCTCAGTAATTTCTTTTCGTTAAAGATTGACTCCTATTTTCTTACTACAAATTTTAATTTTCATCTATTTAGAAAATTGATTTATTTAATATGTACTTGTAACTTGTTTTAAAGGATCTCTACGAGTCCTAGAGCACTCAAAAAAAGGGGGGGGGGAGGACGCCCAATCACTTATTCACACGAAAAAGAAGGTTTTATTTGGAAACCCTAGGAGGCTGATTGGAAACTAGTTTTTACTAAATCCAGGGTTCGTTTCAATCTGTTACCGGGTCGGTCGATCAATGGAGGTTATGGTAAAAAGGCCTAGAGGTAGGCCAAGGAAGCGTCCGAGGCCGGAGGAAGAAAATGAAAGTGCCGTTGCTGATGCGAAATTCAATAATTCCAAAACTAAAAAGAAGGTACTGGAGACAAGATCCATGGCCTTTGTAGGTCGATATGCGTTGAAAGAATTTGGGGGAAGTTCCTTTTTAGGGAAGATTGTTTCGTATGACACTGGATTGTATAGAGTAGACTATGAAGACGGTGATTTTGAAGATCTGGAAAGTGGGGAACTTCGAGAGTTGATTTTGGAAGAATCTTATTTTGATGATGATTTGCGTAGAAGAAAAATTAGGTTAGATGAGTTAGTGTTAAGCAGGATTGTAAAGAAGAGAGAGTTGGAGGAGGAAAGGAAGAAATTGGAGGTTTTGAAAAACGAGGTTGATGCCCTGGAAACCTCGGCTGTCAGTAAGCTGAGTGATGGGATGATGGTTGAGAATGAAGGAGAGCAAGACAAAGATGATGCGGATTCTTCAAGTGATTCCTGCGATTATGCACATGATAGGGAATTGTCTTTGGAGTCAGAGATTCCTCTTATTCCACCCCCTATATTACCTCCTTCTTCGGGAACAATTGGTGTGCCGGAGGAGTGCGTTTCACATCTGTTTTCTGTGTATGGTTTTCTTAGGTCCTTCAGCATCAACTTGTTTTTGAATCCGTTCGGATTGGATGACTTTGTGGGGTCACTAAATTGCTCCAAGCCAAACCCTTTACTGGATGCTGTTCATGTTGCTTTGATGCGATCATTGAGTTGTCATCTTGAAACAATCTCTTCAGAAGGCTCAGAGCTTGCATCAAAATGTTTGAGGTATGTTCTATTTTCACACATCATCAATTAATGATTTGATGGGTTGTGATTGGGATGTTTAACAACAAATTTGGTTTCCACCCAATCTACTGTACTGTCATTCTCGCTAAAAGTACAAGGTAGTCCCTAGGCCCTAAAGAATTAAAGAAAGTCAGGAGTTCATATAAATTCTGGGGTGGTGCAATCCTTATAATGATACAATTGGTGCACTTTTTCCACCAATTAGGAAAGCAAATGAGAGTAGTTTTGATCTCTCTTGGAAAAAATGTGTGCTTTATGGGTGACTAGAAGTGCCAGATGCTTCACATGTTACGATTCTTGCACTTTTCCTCCCATTTTGAAAGCAACCTAGTGGCATCTTGCCATCTCTCTTAGGAACATAATATAACATAAAATATATTTGGGTTCAACTTTCAGGGCATCACCAAGCACCAAAAAGGAACAGAAAAGAAAAGAAAGTAACGTTCTTACATTCATTCATCAATAGAAACTTATATAATTATAATTGTTGCATTCTTTATCTGCAGGTGTCTCGATTGGAGCTTGCTCGATACGCTGACTTGGCCTGCTTATTTGGTCCAGTATTTTGTGATAATGGGATATGCAGGAGGACCTGAGTGGAAAGGATTTTATGAAGATGTCACTGAGAGAGAGTACTATTCCTTGCCTGTGAGCAGAAAGCTGATGATTCTACAAATTCTTTGTGATGATGTATTAGACTATGCAGAGTTGAGAGCTGAAATTGATATGCGAGAAGCAACTGAAGTGGGAGTAGATCCTGATGCAGTTGTAATTGATCCTCTTGAAAAAGGACCTACAAGGGTTCATCCTATATATTCTAAAATTTCCTCGTGCAAAGGAAGGGAGGTAATGGGAATAACCTCAGAAAGTCACGAGGTCAAGTCATTTTCTAGGACCCCATTGGGTTTGAGAAATACTGGAGGGACTGCTGGTGTTGATACTGATGTAGATGGAAATAGTGACGAGTGTCGTCTTTGTGGCATGGATGGGACATTGCTTTGTTGTGATGGGTGTCCATCTGCATATCATTCAAGATGTATAGGTGTCATGAAAATGCATATACCTGACGGGCCCTGGTATTGTCCAGAATGTGTAATTGATAAAATGGGACCAGCAATTGCAGTAAACACCTCACTTAGAGGAGCAGAACTTTTTGGTGTTGATTTATATGGGCAGATCTTCTTGGGTACTTGTAATCACTTGTTAGTGTAAGCTTTTAAACCTGTTTCTTATTCTACGCTAGTAACAATTCCTGTTTGTCAGTTCAACCTCTCTTTTGAGTGGTATCTGCCCGAAAGGCATTCTTGTCAATGACTTGAAATTTGCCCTCTGACTATCTTCTTGTTCTAGCATTTAAATGTCTCATCATTCGAAGGTGGTTTTACTATGTCAAATTGTTATCTGTTTTTCTACTGCTTTCGACTTTTAAGTTGCTCAGTGTGCTAAGTTTCTGTTATGCATGAAATTGATGCCTCATTCTTTTTCTCCGTATTACCTTTCCAATCTGTTCTAAATTTTTGTTTACAATTTGCAATTCGATAATTGCAGGCTCAAGGCTTCCCTTGACACGGAATCGTATGTGAGATACTACACTCTGAATGACATTCCCAAAGTTCTCCAGGTTCTTTCTTCATCCATTGAACATAAAACATTATACCTTGATATATGCAAAGCAATTATACACTATTGGAATGTCCTGGAAAATATTGTCTCTCCACTTGAAATTGGTGGCAAGGTAGCAAAGATGAAGGAAGACGCAGAATTTTCTACTGGATTACCACTTCCTGTTGTGAAGGATAGCCATAAGTTTTTGGGTTCAGTTGATGTTGAAAATGCAAGTAGCTTCAGTGGAAGCAATGTGGGAGTTTTGCGTCCAGATACTTCTATGCTTGCAATGAACCTAACTGACCTTCCTGGCTCCCTGAGCAATGATGAGACAATGGGAGGGAAGGATCATCCTCCAATGAATAAAAATCTGTCTGAGCATATTTATATCGAGTCTGCTGTATCTGCTGCTTCAGTTAGCCAGCAAACTGCCTCTGATGTAACCCATCAAAGTTTAGTTGACAGATCAAGTGTCATAGATCATACATCATGTGCCTCAGGAAGCAGCAGTAACAGTTATGGTGGAGCTGCAAATGGTATCTATTTTCAAGCAAATATGTTTTGCCAGAGCCAGAGCAAAGTGGGCAAGCAAATAGGTTTTGGAAGGGATGCAAGAAATTTTGCAGTTGATTATATATACATGGGGATTTCTTTTAAACCTCAGGCTTATGTAAATCACTATAACCATGGGCATTTTGCTGCTACTGCGGCTGCCAAGCTGGCTGTTTTTTCATCAGAGGAAAGTCAGGTATCTGAGGTAAATAAATCAGGTAGTGCCAGAAAGGTTGCAACTGCTAGTAGCATGTTGCTGCAAGTAAAAGCTTTCTCATTAGCAGCCTCGCGCTTTTTCTGGCCAAGTGCTGAAAAGAAGTTGTTGGATATTCCACGAGAAAGGTGTGGCTGGTGTGACTCTTGCAAGATCCCATCTTCAAGCAGAAGAGGATGCATGTTAAATTCTGCAGTCTCCACTGCCACCAAAAGTACCAATAAGGTCCTCAGTGGCCTTCCTTCTTTAATGAATGGAGGGGGTAGTCTTCCCAGTATTGCAACATATATTTTATACATGGAGGAGACTTTGCGTGGTCTTGTTGCCAGCTCTTTCTTAAACCCAGATTATAGAAAACAATGGCGTAGGAAACTAGAAGAAGTTTCAACCTGTAGAGCAATGAAAGTTCTCTTGCTTGATGTGAGTATTACAAAATATATTCATTAATTTCCTTCATACTTATCTGATAAAAGCACCTATCTTGATATTCCATCTTATTTTCTGGTCAAGGTTTCCTGACATGCTGTAAACCTTGAACATCTTATCTTTACCTAATTTTTGTTTCTGATCACTATATGCTTTAAAATTTTGGATTAATTGAGAATGTAACTGATGGGGAAGGTTTGAGTTTGTTTCTTTTCCTCTGTGGATTGTCAGTTTTATCATATTGTTTAACTAAATTATAGTCTGAACTTACTAATTCAGACTTTGGTGTAACAGATTATTAGGCCTATGATATTTTTTCCAATTCCGTCATTCATTTCTTCTTTGCTGATGTCTTTCTTTCACCCCTAGCCTAGTCTGTCTTCATTCTTGTTCACATCAGTGCTATTATTTTGCCTTCTCTTCCTTGCCTGTTTCTCATTTCATGTTTTAGTTGTTAAAATGTTCATATTTTCTTGTTAAAATGTATGTATTTTGGTAAAAACGCTTGTACCCTTGTGTACTTGTAGCGTGAAATTAGATGGATGCCATGTGCTATATAATCAATTGCTCTTGGTTGATGTGGTTTTTGGTTTCTGACATTGTAGATATGCATTTTATTATGCTATTTCCCCCTCTATTTTGGTTAATGTACCTTTGGTTTTCATTTTCAGCTTGAAGAGAACATTTCAGTTACTGCTCTTTCTGCGGACTGGGTCAAGCTAATGGATGATTGGTTAGTAGATCCTTGTGTAATTCAAAGCACTTCATCATCTGCTGTGGGATTGTCACAGAAGCAGGGACCAGGTGGACGACGGCGTAGGAAACAGTCTGTTGCATCTGAAGTTACAGCTGATGACTCTGATGATAAAAGTTTTGACTGGTGGCGTGGAGGGAGGTTATCAACTCATGTATTCCAGAAAGCAATTTTGCCTGCCTCAATGGTTAGAAAAGCTGCCCGGCAAGGTATCTTTGGTGTCCATGAAATAATTTTTTTAGAAGTCTAATTTGCTTTCTATATAGTAGTAAAATTGGTGAAAACAAAAAAATTAAATAGAATCATGGTTTTGTGAATGATTAGGTGGGGTGAGAAAGATTTCTGGTATTAATTATGTTGATGATTTTGAGATTCCTAAAAGAAGCAGACAATTAATTTGGAGAGCTGCAGTAGAAAGGAGTATGAACACGGCGCAGCTTGCACTTCAGGTTCGCCATTAAACTGTGTTTGAATTGACCATTCCTGTAACCCTTTTTCCAATAGTGTCCTGGATTACCAGGAATTTTAATAAAAATTCATTTTGACTTTGGTTCAGGTTAGATACCTAGACCTTCATGTGAGATGGAATGATCTTGTTCGTCCTGATCATAACATCTCAGATGGAAAAGGTTCTGAGACTGAAGCATCAGCTTTTAGAAATGCTCTTATATGTGATAAGAAAACTTTAGGAAGCAAGATCCAATATGGAGTTGCTTTTGGAAATCAAAAGCATCTTCCTTCACGTGTCATGAAGAACATAATTGACATTGAGCAAACTGAAAACAAAAAGGAGAAATATTGGTTTCATTTGACACACATCCCTTTATATTTGATCAAAGAATATGAAGAAAGAATGAGTGTTGCTGTTCTTCCATCGGTTAAGAAGCCTTTCACTGAGTTATCTGAGTTACAACAAAGGCAGTTGAAAGCTTCCCGGAGGAATATATTTGCTTATCTGATATCTAAAAGAGATAAGTTAGAGAAGTGTTCCTGTGCTTCATGTCAAATGAATGTTTTCTTGAGGTAGTCATACAGTTATCAAATATTATTTTTGTTGATATTGTAATTCCTGTTTTCTCCACTTATTTGCTCTAAGCTTATTCTTTTATGCAATCATCAGGAACGCGGTAAAATGTGGCACTTGCCTAGGTATGCTAACCACTTTCTAGACTTCTCATTCTAAATTATCTTTTATAGTGAATATTTTCCAATTTTGCCTCTGGGCTCCTAATATCATCTGTATATGAGATAGTTACATGTAGCTCAATAGGCTGCCTGTCTAATGTATAATCCAGTTGTTTTGCTTATTGTTTTTGCAATTAACTTATAAATTGAAAAAGATAAGCCATTCTGTTATATGTAATCTAGGAGAAATGTCAAGCTAGGGTAGGGCTTCTTATTACTTATAAGTCTTCATTTGTCTGTTATGTGTAGTTGACTTTTGATATTTCCATTCTTCTTCATTTTCCATGCTCATGAGAGGAAGTTTGTACTTCATGTTTGTGGAGCTGTTCATCCATCATTTCGTGATTTAGATTTACATTTTCCCTGCAAGTGAGAATCCTGTTGGATGGAGAATTCCTGTAAAGGCGCACTAGAAGTGATCTTGTTTAATTTTGATCAGCTTTAGTCAAAATTTCAATAATTGCATAAATAATGAATATGAAATAAATATTAGAATAATATTTGAAATCTGAAACTGTCATAAGATTTCTTGTAACTTTACTAACAATTGGTTGATTTGAGCAGTTTTGAGCTGGGGAAACTTGATCTTATGGTTCTAGCAAAATTGAATTTGTTCCTTCCAAAATTTGGATTAAGGGGAAAGATATTGATTGCAGATCATTAGTAATTATCTATTCATTAAGTGTTTGTGTGATGGGACCTAAAGTGATAAACATGAATAGCTATCCAAACTCATTTATTTTCTGTGGGGAGTTATTTTTCATTTGAAACATGAAAAAAAATGCGGGATACATGCATTTAGGTATCATGTCCACATTTTTGCAACAAAATCACCCAAGCCACCAGGAATGGATGCATTTTGGCTTTTTATGTGGATTACTTTATTTTTTGTTGTTGCAGAGATAGGTTTGGGTTTGAATATCTAAATAATTTAAAATTTTTCCCATTTTTATCAGGTTATTGTCATGAGGACTGTACTTTGAGCTCAATGCACATGAATGGGAAAGTTGAGTGCTTCAGCATCTGTAAGGGGTGTTACCATGCCAAAGTTCTTGCTCAAAATGAAATCAATACCAAGTCTCCTACCACTCTGTTGTCCTTGCAAGGACGAGATTGTTGCAGTGCACCTGCAGCCACAAAAGGCATGCAGGTTAAAAGTTCTACTCAATCCATGAAACCACTGGCCTCCATCAGAAGCAAGGAGAACCTGGTTAGAATTCAGGAAAAAGGGTATGATACAAAGCAATCTCTTTTAAATAATGGCTCAGGAGTGAAGCGAAATAAGTTGTGTAATTGGGGTGTCATATGGAGGAAAAAGAACAGTGAAAGTGAATCTGGAATTGAATTCAGGCAGGAACACATTCTCACAAAGGATGTTTCAGATAACCGCTTTTTGAACCCTACTTGTGTGCTGTGTCAGCAACCCTATAACTCAGATCTGATGTATATTCGGTGTGAAACATGCGGAAGTATGCTACTGATCTTTGATGCTGTTCTTTCCTTTTTAAATATTCTTTTGATTTTAAGTTATGATGAATGCCTATGCTTCTTTTTTCCCCAGAGTGGTACCATGCTGAAGCTGTTGAACTTGACGAGTCAAAGGTTTTTGATGTGGTTGGGTTCAAATGTTGCAAGTGTAGAAGGATAAAAGGACCCGAGTGTCCTTTCATGGACCTTGAACTTAGAGAGCAAAAGCGCAAGAAACGGTTTGGAAAGCTGCAGAAACAGGGACAAGGAAGTATAGCATTCAATTCTGATCTTGGAACTAATTCCGACACTAAAGAGTTCAGCCCCGTCACTCCAATAATTTCTACAGAGGATGAGCTAGTATATGCTAATGATCCTCGAGTTTTATCCCTTTCCAAAGTTGAGCAAATAACAGAGAACATTTCAGAAGTGGATGTTGAGTTGAATACTGCTTCTGCCAGTGGACCGCAGAAGTTACTTGTTAGAAGGCAAATAAAGCGGGAAGAGGAGGCAGATGGTCTTTCTGGGGATGGTCTTGAACATGTTGAGTTGTCGACATACCCTGAACCTAATGATTTTGCGGGGCCCAAGGGGGAGTCGTCTATTCCTTTTGCGCAATGGGATGTTTCCAGTAATGGGGGCTTTGAAGGTGAGCTTCTATTAGATTATGAAAATCTGAACTACGAGGACATGGAGTTTGAACCGCAAACATACTTCTCTTTCACTGAGCTGCTAGCATCCGATGATGGGACCGGGGATGGATTGAAGGATTCCGATAATCAAGTGGACCCAATGAACCCCGATGTTACTGCACTGCATTGTCATGTGTGTCTACAGAATGAACCTGCACCTGAACTTTATTGTGATGTATGTGGGTTTTTGACGCACACCCAATGTTCTCTTTGGGATGAGTCTTCATCCTTGGAAAGCAGCTGGAGGTGTGGCCGATGTCGAGAATGGCGCTAGTTGGCCCAATGCTGTGCAAGTTTTGGGAATGTCTTTTGTCTATGTTGGTCTAAATGATTAAACAGAGGGAGGCAGAGCTGGCCACAGCCTACCCGTGACAATTCTTGATTACCACGCCAGTCACTGAGGTTATCATGCATTTGGAGGAAACAGAAACCGCCTCCATTGCTGTGCTTTCTCGAGGCTAAAAAGCATCTACATTTTTTCAGTGGCCTTTTTGTTGATAAGCCCCTCGAGACTCTTTCCTCAGATCGGATCAAAGGAGAAAAACTACGTTTCCAGTGGTTTGGTGAAAATGCGTCAATGACAAAGCTTAAGCTTGGGTGAATGATCAATTGTTTTGGACACCAATTGTGTAGGAAGAGACAATTTTTTTTTAAAGATTTAGAGATATTTACGTAGAACAGTTTGAAAGACGAGCAGATGCCCCTTTTTTGGTGATGCTCGTCTGATTGGCATTGCTTTTGTATACAATTGAATTCCAAGCGTTCTTCCAATTTTTAAGATAAACAAAAGATTTAATTTAAGATGTTCCCCAAGTAACGTTTTCTTCTACGTTATTTCGTGAATGCTCTCTCTGCATGTGATATTTAAACTACACGTCCAACATTACATTATTCTGTCATTTGCCCAAAACTATAAATTTAAATGGCTCCGGTTCCTAAGGAAGTTTTATAATTTATCACGTACTGATACTTTTAAATTTATATGAACTTATATGCTAATTAAATTTATGGACAACCATGTATGTAATTAAAATTTTAAAATAAATACGCAATCAATTATATTAAATATTTAGCGTGAAGAAAATAAATAGATCTTTTGGATTTTCTCTTTGTGTAATTGAAGATCCATTAGTCTACGCGCCTATATTATTATTTAAAAACTTAAGATCCATTAATTAGTGAGTGTTCAAGATGCGCATGTTGTCTTAAAAATCTTTTAAAAGTTCTAATCCTATTATTTTAAGAATATAATATCTCTTTACTTAATAAAAGACCAATTATTCTATTAATCAAACATCAATTTAATTAAAAGAAATTAAAAGGTCCTCATATTTATATTTAATTTATATCCCGAATAAAAAAGAATCAAAATTCAATTTATCCAAATTCGAATCAAGATCGAACATCAACTTGATTTTAATTTTATTCCGTTTAATCCGATAATCTAATGAACGAATGTTTTCTTGGGGTATCCCCTTCAGTTCTATTCACACGAAGATACGAACCAAAACTGAAAATGGATCACAAAAAACAAAGAAAACTGCATTTATAATCAAATTTCTTATGATCGTTTTTCTTGTTCCCACTATATACTTATTTTTAATCTTATTACAAAATATATTGGGTTTGACAAACCATTACATTGTTACAACTGATACTACTACATGCCATATCTTACATGTGACGACGTCTTACTAGATAGACAAACCCCAATCTGCTTAACTCAAAAAAATGGGAAGAAAAAGGAAACCCTCACCATGACCATGTAGAAAGAATCACAAAATGCCCGACCACCTTTCTCTCACTAAGCCGTACAAGCATAATTAAAGCTCATCCGTGGATCCGCCGAGCCCTTGCATCATGACTTTTATATATGCACCTCTTAATGGGAGGCGCAAATGCCAAATACGTGGCTGACAGTAAAAATCAAGGTTTATAAGTGTACACTGAACAAATCTTCATTTTCAAGATAGCAAACCCGCTAGTATTGCTGCGGGATCATTCGGCGGTATTTGTGGGGTTGGTTGAGCTGTGGGAGGTGCTTTTGGTGCTGGTGCTGGTGACCGAGCAGTAGGGATGCTAATCAATTGTTCCTTGATGAACTCCTTCAACCTGCAGATCAAATATAAGAAAAATCTGCCAACACCAAAGATTTAAACTTGATCAGTTTGAAGTTTAGCTACTTACTCGAATGTTAACGAAGGATCGCCTGAAGCAAGTGTCATCCGCAACTGGGTTCTGTCCGCTGGATCTGTTTCAATTCTGACCTGAAAACATTACATAAGAAAAAACTGTGAGAAGTGACCTTCCCTAGATCCCAATGGACCAAAAATTCATGGATAACTTAAACACACCTGAAGGGCAAGTTATAAAGGCTTAAAGACTAGATTTCTCTACATAAGAAATTCAATTCGGGGTGACCCGATCAGATAGAAGAATGAAAAGACTGGAGGAAAAAAATAGTAGTGGGTAATTTCAGAACAAATTTAGATCCTTTTTAAACAAGAATAATACATGTAACAAACCATACAAATCAAATAACTACCAAACAAAGGAAAATGGTAAGAGTTCCTTGGAAGTCATCATGTCATTGGAATTTACCACCAAGCTTTACCATTATAATAGAACAGCCATGTAGATTCAACAGAACATATTTCTTACCAGACACAGCATCGCATGCGTACTCTCTGAGTAGAAGGTTGTGCTTGCAACTAGATTGTTAGGATTTGGATCCTGAAAGATTTTGAAAAAAATTTAGAAGGTCAACATTGATGCTTTAAACGAGAGAAGGGATTAGTCAAATGAAAGTGACTTACCAGTCCAGGACATATCATTATCCGGAAACTGTCAAGTAGATTAGCCATTTCTGGAAGAGGCATGGGTCTCACACCTCTAACCTGCACAATTTTGAGCAGCTAGATAAGTCAGGGAACCCAGCAGAGGAAACAAACTGGTCAGTGAATGGTACTATGAGCAAAGCATACATAGAACAAGGCTTCATTATATTATGGTTGTTTACACAGTTACGTGAAGGTGAAGGTGGTCCTAAAGCTAAAGGATGAAACACAATCTCTCTCTCCCCCAATTCCCAACCATTAAAAAGAACACAAAACAGAAGGTATACGTACAACTTCTTGAAGTTTCAATGGTGGTCCTGAAAGTGATCTCCATTGGGGGAAAAACTCCTCAGCAGGCACTTGAATAGGCTGCAGAAACTTATTCAGCACGGCAGGAAGGCGAAGCTTCACATTAACCTGTAAAAGGTAATAATAAGTTACCTGGTAAAATTTAACCATATGCTTAAATGTACAGAAGTATATAACATATAAATTATCATATAAATTATCTTAAAGTACCATATTGGTCCCAAACTTGTAGGAGAAGTCAAGAACAGCTACATCTCGGCTCGGCCGAAGATTTACAATCTCAAGTGGGCATTGCACCTACACATATAATGCCAAAAAAAAAAGACAGAGAAGAAAGCAGCAACATCCTCAGTCCTTTCTAAAATAGAAAGCAGCAACATCCTCAGTCCTTTCTAAAATACGAAATGACAGGAAAAAACATCAATAGCTATTAGTGAGCAACTGGCTACAAGCAGAATGAGTCCGTTTCACCTGAGCTCGAGGAGGTATCGTGTCAGGCACTAATGAAAACTCCATCTTCAGGTGAGCAGGAGGCAATATTATAGCATGAACAGAAACGAGCGGAGCAGTATTCTTGTTTCCCAAGAAAAGAACAAGATGCACATGATGACCTCGCCCCTCAGCTTTAATGCCAATCTGAAGTAAGGTTTAGCGGGAAAATCAGCAACAACTTTTTGGAAGCTTTTACCAACTTGAAAACCAAAAATATCCTAGAGTACAATAAAGAAGTAATACAAATTAGCAGATAATTAAAAATAAAATTATGAGAAGGCTTTGCACCTGAATGTAAGGATCCTCATATAGAACACCACTATCTTTCAGGCATAAAGCATGGAATCTTTCAGCAATATTTCCTATTGGCTGCAGATGCAAGTAATAAAACAAATGGTAAATCTTATAAAGTATAACTTATTAGAATCATGATGCACCAATGGCTTAACTTCTTAATTTTAGTTTAGCATGTTGCAGTATATATTTTTTTGATAGAATATTATTAGGTCTCATTAAAAAAACCCCTTCATCCCTCCATGTTACAACAGTAACGTGAAGGACATTGGAAGGAGGTGCCTATGAATTTTATTAATCAGAACAATAATACACAGCCAGTACCTAACAACCTTCTGTTACAACATAACACTGAAATTTTAGTTTAGCATGTTGCAGTATATATTAACTAGTGAAAATTTTAAGCTAGTAATTTGAAAATAAATGCCCTGTACAATTATTTGATGATAATGACGAGAGAACACTTGATGAGTTTTTCAGACTTCTCTAAGTCATGGGAGAGAGAGAGTAAGAGAGAGAGTAAGAGAGAGAGAAGTCGAAAAGTTAAGCTTCCTCCAGTGAGGTATGGACAATATTCGTGGATAATCTGAGTCAGAAAGTGTCAAGGAGTGCGTTAAGGGAGCTTTTTCAGTATCATGGGTCGGTTATCAGAATCTTTATCCCGAGAGTTTTGAAAAAACCAAAATACAAAGCCTCTACTTTTGCCTTTGTTCAGTTTGCTAATGAGAAGAGCCTGATGAATGCTATCGCGAAAGTTAGCGGATCGTTGATCGATGGGAGGAAAGTATCAGTGGGGGTGGCGAAGTACCATAAACCTCGAAGAGGTACAGCCACACCAGGTATAATTCAGTCAGAAAAGAAACAGTTATATGAAAATGAAAAGAGGAAAAACAGGGTCGGAAATGAAACCCCGAGAAGTATAAGAGATGATAGGTCTTACAAAGAAGCTTTGGTTTAGAACAAGAGGTTGAGGGCAGATCATGATTCGTGGGAGAACAGAGGGGGGGACTTCAAAAGCTGGAACACGAATGAGGAATTTATGGGAGATGCATATTCCTGCGAAAGAGACAGATTGGATGAAGTGCTCATTAGCAGGGTCATTAAGGCATCCGTTGAGCTGGAATTGGTTCAGAAGGCTTTGCACAATGATGGTATTGATGTGAAGTTAGTAAGCTGGGGTTATGCATGGAACTCCTGTATTATCACTTTTCAGTCAGTTGAAGCATTATCGAAGACATGGAATAGCAAGAAAGATGAAATGTCTTTCTGGTTTGATTGGGTGGCACCTCTTCTTGATGAAAACGTAATTCCAATGGCATACTGTTTGATTGAATTGTATGGAGTCCCTTTATTATGTTGGCAGGAGTCTTTCTTACAGAGGTTAGCTGAAAGATAGAGATCGCTGGTATGTACATTGGAGTCAACAAGGAACAGAGAAGACATGTCGGTAGCAAGGGTGATGGTTAGAGTGGCAAGCCCTTTTGATGTTCCAAAGACAATCACGATAGGGTCATATGGAAGATCTTTTAAAGTCAGAATCGGACTGGATTCGGTTTTTCAGAAGCCGATTTATCTTTGGGAGAAAGAATCAGATGGGATTTCAAAGGAGTGGATAATGCGACCTCGAGTTTGCTTTTCACCATAGAACTTTTTTGCAATTCCGATAATATGGCAAACTCGAGGTCCACTTTATCCACTCCCGCTGATAATCTTCAATCAGACTTGTTGTTCAGATTCTTCTCCCAAAATCGTTATCAGATCATAATGCGACACTACTAGAAAGGAGTGCAGTTAACTGGGATCCAAAACCGTTCAGGCTTTTTAACTATCTAATGGAAGAACATGGTTTTCAGGAAATGATGGAATCAACATTGGAAGAGATGAAAAAAGATAAAAGGAGAAGAAGAACTGCAAACATGTTGAATGAATCGAAGAGAGTATTTAGAAGTTGGACGAATAATAGACATCTCTTGATGTCGGGAAGGATTTTAGAGCTAGAGAAGTCTATTTTTGACATGGAGGCAGATATACAATAGGGATTAAATTCAGTATTGCGGGATGCTATTGTGAAGGCATAGAAGGAATTGTGGGATTTGTACAAAAAAAGAAGAATTAATTTGGTACCAAAAGTCACGTGAGAAGTGGATTTCAGATGGGTATCAAAATTCCAGATATTTCATCAGTGTGCATTGAATAGGGGGAGGGTAAACGCCCTGAAGGTCCTTAAAGTTAATGGTGAATGGGTCTCTGACCCAAATCAAATTAAGTCTAGTGTTTTCAATTTTTTTCAAGGAGGCCTATAATAGGAAGGCGACTGTGGGAGTGGATAAAGTGGACCTCGAGTTTGCCATATTATCGGAAGTGCAAAAAAGTTCTATGGTGAAAAGGAATTTTGCTGAGGAGGAAATTTGGAAAGCAATTGCATCCTCGGATAGCAACAAGACGCCTGGTCGGTTATGAAGGATGAGATCCTAATGTTTTTTTCAGATTTTTATTCAGGGAAGAGGTGGGAGAAAGGAGTGAATCATTCATTTATATCATTGATCCCCAAGAATTTGAATCCAGAGAGTTTGGAAGATTATCAGCCTATTAGTCTAGTTGGTGGTCTTTACAAAATTTTGTTGAAGGTTCTTTCAAGGAGATTGAGGACTTGTATTGATGCTCTTATAGGTCCTGCTCAATTTGAATTTGTACCAGGGAGATAGATTCTTGACTGCTCCTTTATAGCAAATGAGGGGATTATTTTTGGGAGAAAAAAAGGTTGAAATGTGTTGCTTTTAAAGTGGATTTCAGAAGAGCTTGCGATTCAATAGACTGGTCGATCTTGTTGAAGGTTATGGAATATATGGGGTTTGGGCAGTGGTGGCGTTCTTGGATTTTAAAATGTTTATCTTCAGCTTCAGTTTCGATCTTGGTAACGGCTCTCTGACTGAAAAATTCAAGATGTCTAGTGGGTTACGCCAAGGGTGTTCGTTATCACCGCTGTTGTTTAATTTAGTGGGTGAGATGTTAAGTTTGATGTTGTCTAAGTTAAGATGGACCTTTTCAGTGGGTTTCAAATCGGCAGTCCAAATAAGGCATTCCCGTTGTCTCATTTGCAGTTTGCCGATGATCTGTTAAATTTTTGTGGTGCTTCAGAAGGGCAGCTGAATAATGTGAAAAGAGTAGTGACTATTTTTGAATTGTGTTCAGAACTTCAACTAAATTTGTCTAAGAGCAGAATTTTCGAAATTAATGTTGATGAATCATGCATCAAAGCGTGGGGCAGATTCGATTGGATGTCGGATGGAATCTTCCCAACGGAATATCTTGGACTTCCCTTTGGTTCGACGAAGAATTCGTTTACTTTGTGGGAACCAATAATCCAGAGATGTTACCAGAAATTGACGGGTTGGAAAGAAAATACTCTTTATTTTGCAGGGAGGGTTGTGTTTGTGAAGTCGGTTTTAAGCGCTTTGCCAATTTATTTTATGTCGTTGCTTAGAATGGAGAATAAGGTTATGAGAAAACTGAATTCTATTCTGACAAACTTCTTATAAGGGGGTTCATCTTAGAAAAAATCATATCCATTGGGTGAATTGGCAGACTATGTGTAGACCTAAAGTTCAAGGGGGTCTGGGTCTCATTGATTTAAACTTTATGAATAGGGCTCTCCTGGGGAAGTGGGCATGTAAGTTTAGCTTTGTTTGTGGAATCAGAGTGGTGTGGTAAAGGTCGGTTAATTATAGAGACTGATTCTGCAATTGCAGCGAAATGGATTAAGACTCCGGAAGTGTGTCCTAACGTGTTTTCACATCTAGATAAGGAAATCGTCAGTGTTGTATTGGAGCATAGTGTTATTATAAGGTTTGTAAAAAGGGTTGTGAATTGGGAGGCTGACAATTTGGCTAAGTCAAGGGTAGGGTAATTGTGTAGTAATTTTTGTTTGGATGATGTGTTTGTTGGGAGGGTGTTGGTTAAGTTGGTGGGTGATGTTTTTTTTATAGGAATATTAGGCCTCATTAAAAAACCCCTTTATGATTAATGGAACTCTGAAAAAATTCTTTAATCAGCGGAAGGAGGAAAAGAGTGCCTTGGATTTTATTAATAATAAACTTAATACAATAGATTACAAAAACCTAGAACTCCTTGAAGGAGATCGACAACCTAAATAGTTACAACCTTAAAAACAACATAAATATCAACCAATTCCAGCCTTAGCTAGAGCGTCTGCCTCTAGATTAGCTGCCCTATTAACCCATCTAATAACACCTTCACACAGTCTAAGTTTTTCAATAATATCTTTAACAATGTAAGCATAAACAACAGGACATGAAACGAAATCCCTAACCCAGTCAACTGCCACCCTGCAATCACTTTCAATGATCAACCGATCCTTGAATCTGTGTCGTATAGTGTGAAAGAAAGATAAACCCTCAAGGATAGATTTCAATTCCATCAAAGTAGGAGGACCAGGTCCTGCGGATTCCTTGTAAGTGTCTATGATTGTCTCGTTATCATCTCTCAAAACACCACCTATCCCACTTCTCTTCCAATCAGTAGTAGTAGCAGCATCGACATTTAATTTGATGAAGCCCTTTGGGGGGATAGGACCAATTAATCACAGTTGCAATCGGTTTGGAGTTAGGAGAACAAGAATCCCCTAAGGATCTAAAATAAGCAAATCCTTAGAGATCGAAACCTGTTTGTACTTAGCTAAGTACCATGAAGCTAGCCTGAACCTAGCTAAAAAGAAGAGTTCTGATTGATCTACCTTCCCTCCTTCAAATGCAATATAATTTCTGAATTTCCAAATTGTCCATAGGATAACCCTGGAATAAATGACCATATGGTCGAATTAATCCTCAAATCAGCCCATGCTAGGAGAAATATTTTTGCATCAACATGAAAGACAGATTGAATGTTCCAGAACCTAATAAATTTATTCCAAATGCTCCAAACCACCGAACAAGTAAAAAATAAATGGGAGGGTGTCTCATCAAACTACTTGCAAAAAGGACACAACAAGTCATCTATACCCAACATACCTCTTTTAACAAGAGCTGACTTCACTGCCAGCTTCTGTAGAATAACTT